TCAATCCTCTTTGGAATCGACGATTGCCTAGAAAATTTTCATCTTCATCGACAATTGGGCAGTTTTAAGGATCTCTCTTACCGACCACAGGTAATTTTTATAGCTAATCGCACCAACATCTTACCTCATGAAGATATATTTTTCCAGCTGAATACCAAGATTCAAATTTCATGATAAATAATAAATCTGTTGGATTCCAAAAAATTGTCCCCGAAACGAAAGTTGGGGCTGAGTTTTGGTTCCAAATGAAAACATTCTAATCCGTCAAATTTATGTTTCCATTTTTTATGCTATATCAACCCAATATAATTCAAGAAATCGAGAAATGCAACTTCAAACTGCGTATATAAGCACGTGTGTACGTGTATGTGTAAAAAAAATCGAAACTCCATCCCCGATTCGGCGTTACTATCCATGAAATTAAATAATTCATCTCTCAAATTACAATTCAATTAATTTATTAATTTTTTCACTTTGTGTTTTTTTTTATCAGTTTTTTTACGATGACTGAAGAAGAAATGTTATGACATGAATTAATGATGGCTTAAAAAATTAATTTCCATGGCTTGGTGAGTTAGTTCGATATATAGGAAAGATTGGTCAAAACTCGTATTTTGGAAATATTTGAATTCTAGGTCTTTCGCGGTTATTCTACTTCGATTGACTTCGATCATTATCGATTTATTCACAAAAATATTACTATTATTATTCTATTGTTTATTTATTTATTAAGGGAAAATAACTAACTATATGCAATCAAAGAGCAATTTCATATTCTTCATTCATAGTTATTGATTTAGAAATCAGTTTTTGAGGAAATAAATCATTTATTTATTTGCAAAGTCTTAAATATTATAATCCACAAGATCGAAATCTCCAGTTTCCATACAAAATATGGATTAATTTTAAAAGGTTAATGACAATTGTAACGTGCCAATTATGATGAAATATGTTCGGAATAGTATTTAATATTTCACTCAGTTTCACGGTATTACATCGAACGAAATATCACATGCCAAATAATTATTCGTTGAGTCATCGCAGGATTAAAATGATTTCCTCTTTGTAAACAGGTAACCAGTTATAAATAAACAGTGGAAAATCATTTACCTCATGCATTAACAATATGAATCACAGTAATTGGAGCAATTATAAGCGAGCGATTACTGTTCACCTCCAAAACTCGGAGTTCCACCCAAAAAATAATTACACCGAGAAAAAACGGGTCAATTCCCAATAAATGGTAATGTGTTTAAATATAAAATTTTTTTTCCGTACGTAGAATATATAATTTTAACAAATATCTATGAATCAATGAGTAATTGTTTCAATAACACAAACATTAATATTTATAATGATCTAATAATTGAAATATTTTTCACAATTACTTACAACTTTTCGAAAATTGAATTATTATGAGGGAGAACTCATACCTTTCATAATATATTATATTTTATTTATTACTATATTTATATTTTTATATTTATGTTCCATTGCATACACTAATGGAAAATAATGATTTATTTGCCAGCAGTATTTTAGCAGCAAGCTCTCGTAAACTGATAAGCGTAATCAATTGCTTGATTATCCTCAAGTAATCTTACAACAACCATTGAATTTCATTTCATAATCTCATTAATTTCCCAAAACGTAATAAATTGATTTACCCGCAGTAATTATTTTTCACGACATAAATTTCTCTTCGCACTGTAGATCCATTTTTAAAGGATAACTAAATCCTGACTTTGATCCTGGAGTTAGAAAGACATGACATAGTAAAACGCAAAAAAGTATCAAATTCCCATAACCATGAGCGCCATTGTCCTCTGATATTCCAACGCGTAATATTTTTACTGATAATCAGACACGCAACCGAAAGCCGCAAAATCCCTCTCAACTCCGGAGAAACCGAATCAGTTCCCCCCGATAAGCAAATTCCCGGAGGAATTCCCCATCACCAAATAAATCATCCCCCACCCCTTCCAATCATCATCAATCCGCAATTCAACACATCATCCATACCACGATCCAACCGCGAAGCTATTGCCCTCATCCTCTCAACCACAAGTAGAGGTGTGAAATCCGATCCATGAAACTGTACCCGCGAGATTCTCCCCCCTAGCCCCATCCACCCCCCTCCTTCCTCCCTCATCGCGCGGAATAATTTCGAATAAAGTAAAAGAAAACTGAAAATGAGATTGAAATAAAAAAGAAGGGCCCCGCTAAAAATGCCCGAAGAAAAATAATAAACGATGGCGACGCAAAAAGGGCCCATCGGGTTGAAAAATAAAAATTGCGGATCGAGTACGGATAGGGGAAGGGGGTTGGGCACGCGCTTTTTGCCGCTTCCGTTCTCGTCTCGAATCCCAGAGTGCGTGATGCGACTTTACGATGAGGTGATCTCTTTTAGTCTCTTTTCGCCTTCATGTCGTCTCTCTTGGTCTCTTTTCGTCTCTT